AGAGACATTTAACCGCATACCAAACTTGTTGAAGGAGATTCAGCGTCCAGATTTCAAAATGACAATCATGCTCGTGGGAAACAAGTGTGACCTTGAAAACAAGAGGGCTGTCACCAAAGAAGAAGCTGAACAACTTGCACAGCAGAATGGCCTCTTATTTGTGGAGACATCTGCTGCCACAGCTCAAAATGTTGCGGAGGTGATGCAACCAAACACACATTAAAAAATAAAATAAAATCTTGGTTTATTAGTTTATATTATGTCTCAAAAGTTTTATAAATGTTACAGGCTTTCAAGAGGACTACTGCAAATATCCTTCAGAAATTGCAGGGTGGCGTTATTCACGTGCCTCATGCGGTACTCATTCGAATCTGTTTTAGTTATATATATGTCAGCCTGACTTTTGCTTCGAAATCTTAGGCGATGTGTGGATATTGCTTTAATTTTGTCCAGATTGATTTTTGCTCATGCATGTTTATTGCATTTAGGTTTTGATTAATGGTTTTAGTGTGCTGTTATAATGTTTTATGGAACATTTTAGCCTCTGTTATAACGGTTTTTTTTTTTTTTTTTTGCCACTCTGAAGTGTATTTTTCGGCCCATGGAACAAAAATGTAGCAGGTGCAGGGAAGAGCAAGCAAGTATTGAGAAGGAGAGAGATGCAATTTTCGAAAAGGCTCTTGACATCGCCATATTTGACCGGTTACGTGAACGTGAAATGGCTCCTCCGGCCCTTACTCGATAGTTGAATATCGTTAATTATTACTACATCCCATATCTTTGTCATTTAATTGAACTGAACCCCTGCCGGGTCGAAGCTTTCCTCTCTTCTGGACGTGCATGGAAAAAATATTAACATTAGTTGTATGTAAATTTATATGGAAGTAATTATTCGTCTTATCTACTAAAGATTTGAAGAAATATTATTTTAAAATTATGTTATTTTAATAAATATTTATTAAAAATGATTAAAATATCTTATTTTTTAAATATAAAATAAGATGTTTTTTTATCATTTTTTTCCTTAATATTTTGAAAATAAAGTAGACAAACATTAACCATAATTTATATTCTATTCATTTTTGTTTTGTTCAAAAGATAGACATCACCCTTGTTCGTGAACAAAATTGGAATGGAAAGACATCATAAATCGACATAAACATTCTGCAATCTATATTTTTCAAAATCTGATGACTAGAAGAGCCTACTGAAGAATCTATTCTGATCCATTTTTGTGTTAAATCTGGGACTAGGGTGATCCCAGCCACCAGAGCAGTTCGTTCACTTTGTTGTCTGGCTCATGCTCCAACCGCAAGGCCCGCGCTTGGCTAACCCCATCCCCCAACCCATATAAAAGGCACCTGCTCAGAAAAAATCTGTAACCAAGGTAAGGTAGGACGGTGAGATCTTCTATGTGAAAGTTATTTACGAAGAACCTTAAGCAGATTGATCATTGACATTTATTTGGGAAAACTAAAACATTCTTCTTTCTTCAATATGAAATTTAAGTACAAGATTATAATTATTTCACAGAATATTAACTCCAAGCATATAGGTGATAGGTCCTCCCAACAAAAAATTCCAGTGCAACTGGTAACGTGATGCTTCCCTCAAAGACCTTAAACGCCACCCATCAGCTGAAGCTGCTTGATATGCGTGATTTGCTTCCCTGGGTTCAGGCCCTTTGGGCATGCACGGGCACAGTTCAATATGGTGTGGCAACGGTAGAGCTTAAACTCATGGTTTATTGCTTCCAATCGCTCCTTGGTATATTCATCACGACTGTCGCTTATCCATCTGTTTGCAAGAGACAACAGAATTAGTGAGCATTCTGCATAAAAGATAATCCACAATCTTTACAATTTCAGAATTGGTTGTACTCTAACAAGGGACAACAGATTATCCAGGGACTGCAGAGGTCAAGAATTTTTCAAAAGAAACTGTTGTTCTGCAAGAAGGTATAAGCAAGCAAAGAAGATCCAATGCAGTAAAAATAGACTTCAAGCAAGATTCCCACGCAAGTTGCGAGAACATGAAAGTAACATGGACAAAACAAACACTAATGACCATTACATATTACTCACTGCTTGAACATTGAAGTGGCAACAGCCAGCCTATATAAGCACTGAGTGAATTCGGCCTTCAACCACTAATATCACCTACATTGATGTGCCTTTTGAGCATTGCATCAAGGATTCCATTTCATTGAAACAACGTAACAGGCATAGCATAATAATCCTCCCCAAACATAGGCTGCCGAGCAACTAATCATCCAATCTTAAAGATTGCATAAGTAACAAATTTCAACTACACAATTGTAACCATTCCAGAAGGAGAAAAAGGCACATCTTTACACTTTCCCTCAAACCAAAATTGACCACCAAAAAATAAACACACACACACACAGAGAGTAAATCACAGAACTTTTCTTCTACTTTCAGTAAATAAAATCTTAAAATCAGGCCCACCAAAACAACTCAATTACAAAACCTCAAAATTAGGATATAATCACACTAAACAAGCACAACCAGTCACTATTAACATTCAGCAGATGATGAAGAATTTGATCATCAATTACCTGTTTGCATGCAGCAAAGCAGCAGGGCCCAGATAAGACTCAGGATTCCACCAGTAACTTGGGCAGGATGTGCTACAGCAGGCGCAGAGGATGCACTCGTACATGCCATCCAACTTCGCTCTATCTTTCTTGCTCTGAAGAATCTCCTTCCCAGCGACCGATGGCGGATTCTTTCTCTTGAGCCACGGCTCGATGCTCTTATACTGGTTGTAGAAGTTGGTCATGTCCACTACAAGATCCTTAATTACAAACATGTGGGGTAACGGTGTAATCGTCGACTCTGGTCCGGATGGTATCTTCGTGAGACAGGCAAGGCCGTTGCAGCCATCGATGTTCATCGCACAGGAGCCGCAAATTCCTTCCCGGCAAGATCGACGAAAAGTGAGAGTCGGGTCGATCTCGTTCTTGATCTTGATTAGGGCATCGAGAACCATAGGTCCACATTCCTTGAGATCGATCTGGTAGTCCTGGAGCTTGGGCTTGGAGGGATTGTCCGGATTCCACCGGTAGATTTGAAACGTCTTGAGGTTCGAGCTACCGGAGGCCTTAGGCTCCACCTTCTGTGCCTCGGCCTCGCTGGCATGGAAGCGAGCGAGGACGAGCCTCGCCGTTGGCGATGTAGAAACCCTTGAGCCGGAAATTGCTCGCCGAATCAATCCAGCTGCCATTTATTTGGGAAAGAGAAATGAAATCAGAGTTCTGAGCAAAGAGCAAAACGCCGAGACGAGAGCGGTTGGCGGTGGGACTATAGAAAATGACGAAAATAGATTTAGCTATAAAAAGCGTGGAGGGGGCCTTTTCTGGGAATTCAAAACCGCCACGTCGGTTTCATCCAGTTCCGTGGAATTGTCCGATTTTGATGGTTAACTACGCTGACGTGGAAGATTCTGTACCGTCGGTTAAAAGGAAAGTGACGTGGTTTAACGCGGGTCAATCATCATGGTTTTATTTTATGTTTTCTAGGGTGTCGCATGGTCAGCATGGGCCCTCCGGAATTTCTGGAACACGTAGCGATTTTCAAGTGGACGAATCGTCTACGAGGCCGTGCAGATTAGAAATTGGTCTGCGTAATGCGGGCCTATACGTTTTGGGCCGTTTACACAGCCCATATTTAATCAATTGAAACGTGGCGCTATAAGGCCCAAATGCATTTTTAGAGCATATTTGTCTGATTTTCTCTTTCAATTAATTTTAATTTAATTAATATAATTTTCAAAATAAAATAGAATTAATATTGTATTTAGCTAAATGAATATCTTGATGTTCAAAATAATAAGAAACAAAGAAATAATCATTTGATGAATGCTGTTTTCAAAAATATAGTTAACTTGTGCTGAGAAATAATAGCAATGTGATGCTTGAAAATGAAAATGTACATGTTATGCACCTCATGTGAGAACTTTTGCATGTATTTTTCATATCTTTTATCGATTGGGATAAGTTTGGTATTGAGTCCTAACAATTTGAAGGTATTAAGTCCTAAAAATTTGAACATCCATCTATTAAATCAAGGGAGATATCTTTTTTTTTTTTTTCTTTTGGTGCGTTGGATGTAGGTAGAGATGGTAAACGGGTGGGCTCGTCAGGTCACGATTGGACTGGGTTTAATCATGTCACAGGTTCCAACAGTTGGATTATATACGGGTTGCAGTCTTGCAGACAACTAGTGTTGACTCTAATAGCGAATCACGAGTTATCCTACAAGAGTACAAGTTAAACCTCTGCATACATGGATTTCCTAATTTTCCTCCTTCATCTTTTAAAGCTTCTTTATAATTCGAATTTTAAGTAACAGGGGTTTTACCTATTCAAATCAAGAATTAATTTTTAGGGTTTCTAAACTTGTTTTAATATAGTCACATATTAATTAATTGAAATTAAGTGACAGTAACTTTAAATCAAAAACTATAAAATCAATATATTTTTAGGTCTCAAATTCTCATGTTTGCATCTATTTTTTATCAAAAAAATATTATTATTATTATTATTCATAATGCAAGAAATCCCCCAACACTTATATAAGTCCATAATTAGTATAATATAATCTAATATAAATTATCTCTTAAACAAACAAAAGCAAGATTAGAAATTAAGAAGCAAGACCAATCATAAAAGGAAAGTGATGCATCTGGAAGTTTGTCTCTCTCTTTTTTTCTTTTTTTTTAATACTAATTTTTTTTTGTATTTAAAAATTATACTGCAATTCAATTAATTTAAAATTAAATCAAATCAACTTTTATAAAATAAAAAGTTTCTAATGTTTATTCTTTTATTTATAAATTCAAACTTAAAATTTTATTTTAAAAAAATTGAGTTCCTTTCGTTTAAATTAATAAATAATTGATTTAAAACATATCTTTTAACCAAATCAAAAACTTACTTAAATCGTCTCGAATACTTTGTCCTCATCCCCTATTAATTTTTGAATATATCTTCATTTCTTTCACCCTAACTGTCCAAACTATATCTAAAAAACTAAGAGCCCTAACTTCTTAAGACTTACCATCAAGAATGCTGATATAAATTGTAAACATTAATCAATTATATAGAGAAGCCAATAATGAAAGACAATATATGATTATTTTCTAATTATTTTACTTCCTTCTATTTGATTGCATTCTACAAAGTGACTCATTTCAAGTGGAATATATTTTGATTTTTTTTTCTTTACAAATAGTTGTATTTATGCAGTACATGATATATAAATTTTAAATGAAGATAATCAGCCTCTTTTAAAAAGTTTTCTAAATCATAATACTCACCATCATACTAGATTTATTTTAAATCATATTTATAAGTTATTTTACTTTAAAAGTATTACTTTATAAAAATATTTTTTAAAAAACAAAAATATAAATCTTGATCATGAGTCTAATACTAATTGACACTATATACCCCTTTTCTACGAATTAAGTTGGGATTGAGTTAACAGGTCAAATATGATTCTGCCGGCTTTGGATGCAAGTTACAAATCAAGAAAATCAAAGAAACAAAGGGCAGATAAATGAAACACTCAATCTATCCCCTAATAAAATGGAGTCCAGTCCCGTAGGACGTTGCGTAAAAATGATAGTGCCTAGGGTATGTTGTACCGTATAGGAGAAGAAATTCAGCAGCAACTTTCAAACATCTGAAGAAACTAAAGTAGAGGCATGATTATCCATGTCAACATCTGAACTGTAGCATTCACAGTTGCCTACGAGGCCAAAGAGATTCATACTAATTAAGAAGAGAGAATGTAAGACAATAATAAACCGTATTATATATTCTACACAAAATAAACAGTATATTTTTGGTTACTAATGTAGGAGGAGGTTTATTAGTGAATAATAAGACGGATGCCTATAATAGACACATTTGGTACTAGAAGCGGTTGCCACAGGCAGAGAGTAGTGTAATATAGTTAAGTTTGGAAAAACATTGTGTCATGCAACAAACTATAAACTATTAATATCCTCCTACGCTCTATTTTCATGCCTAAACACTCGCCCTATCTGCCTTAAATTCTTCGTCACATTTCCTCCTATTCTCCATCTCTCTCCTTTCCTCAAAATTATCCTACCTTCCCCCCCATAGGAAGCTCCTACTATTCACATTTTAAATGCCGTCAGTAAGATTCTCCCTCCTCTTCTGTTGTTTCCCTTTTTTTTTTTTCCGAAATTTTGAGTTAAGGCAAATGAAGTTCTTAATTAGATAAATGGTTTTCTTGGTAACAGGAAGATAGGGGTCGGAGATTTGAAAATTTTGGAGAAGGGGATGTGAATAATCCTGCCTCAGTTGAGGGATTTACTGTCACATTCAGCAAAGCTAGAGATGAGATGAATTCCAATGTGGCATCACCGAAAAATGTAGAGAGACACAAATCACACAATTCATCTAGACTTTCTAGAATTTCTGACTGGGCTTGGATCGAGCTTTGCAATCTGCTATGTGGTTGTTGCTGCCGGATGGTTTTTGATTCTTTTTAATGCAGTTCTGGTGGAAAGTTCGCTAGGGGCTATAGTGATGCGGATATACATGAATATGCTACTACATTTTAACCCCTGAATTGCATTGGATTGATTGATTGATAAATAATTACTTTTGGTTGTAGAAAAAGAGGTTTTGCTGCCTCTGAAATGGCACTAGCATTATAGCAAGGAAGAAGAAAACATGCTCAAGGCCAAAAGAGAAAATATCTCAAATTCACTGTGCTTGGGAATGTACACTGATTATTCTCTGCCTCTCGATTGCCTCCATTTCATCTTTTACATTTTCCAAACCTTTTCCATACAATAAAAATGATGATGATGACGACGAAGAAGAAGATAATGATTTGTAATTTGATGAATCTAGGAATGCCTATAGATCATGTTTAATAGTATTCATGGTGATCATAGTAAATTTTTAATACATTTTCACATCAAAATATCTATCACAAGAGTATTCAAAGTGCTAATGGTTTCATTTGTACAAGTAAAAACTTAGTTAAGTGAAAATTTTAAATCCTATTAATTAGTTGTCAAACTTGATTTGATGTCCAAATTATAAATTTAAAAACTTTGAATCAAAACTGAGAAGTATACAAGGTTAATTTTTTTTAGACATTTTAAAAAATGCACTCTCCATTGCTATGTTATATTTAAAAATTACCTTGAAATCCAATCCTTTAATCTAATTATTCTGAATTACTAATAGGTAAAAAACAAGTAATGTAATCAATGTAAATTTGTAATGTATGAATCCAACTGGGCTTATTCGATTTGACTCGGAATTGAAAGGTCTGGATTGGTCAGTTCTAGTACAGTCAACCCGGCGCAATTTGCCTATAAATGTCCATTGTTCGATGTGATTGAAACTTTTAATAAAAATTTTGTAAAATAAAATTATTATAAAAATATTATTTTTGTAAAAAATAAAAATACTGTATTAATTTTATTTAAATTTAAATGAAAAACTTATATAAAAACTTTCGATTCAATATTTTTAAATTTTGTAATAAAATAGATAAAATATTAATTTATAAACAATTATAATATTTATCACAAATTAAAATATTTGATGCAACTAAATTTTTTGAAATACAAAAGAATTTCCCACAAGTTTTATCAAATATACCTCAAACTGTATAAAATCACACAACCCTCTCTGTATTTTTATAAGCCCATACTTCTATTCTAAGAAATCACACGAAGCAATAAGTAGGGGGAAGACAATGGACTGCAATTATGTGTTCAAATTCATAGTCCTCGCGGACACTGGCAGCTGCTGCCGCCCAAATCATACATGCTCCTTTTTTTTAAAAAAAATTTATTATTATTATTTGTTTGTGGTAATTTGTGTTTTTTGGAGTTCGATTAATTTGTGGTGAGCACGCGTTGCGAAATCGGCTTTGATTTCCCAACTTAAATTTTTATTTTCCAACAGGCGCCTCGCCAAAGGTTCATTTTGGAGTGTTTGAACTCACATGGTCAACAATGAGGGCAAGACCATCAATCTCCATATTTGGGATTTGGTATGCCTTCTTTTACCCAACCTTCTTCCACCCCACACAAATCACACCACTGCCCGGTCCGCTGAAGCTGCTTGATATGGGTGATTTCTTTTCCTGGGTTCAGGCCCTTGGAGAATGCATGACTGCAGTTCAATATGGCGTGGCAGCAGCATCGTATAGCTTAAAACTCCTGATGATGAATATAAGAATGCCTACCGAACATGTTTAATAGTATTCATGGTGATAATGGTTGGTTTTTAATACATTTTTAAATCAAAATGGTAAATCTCATATCCCACAGAAAAACAAAAAAACAAAAAAAAAAAAACCTCAGTAGCAAGCTGAATATCAATTCCCAGATAATAACATAATCATTTATATAAAGATAAGCACATAGAATTCTAAGCTTTGATCATTAAAATGTTCTATCTTATAATAAATAACTGCTGGTATTAATCTGTCAAAGTTGGCCTTGGCCTGTTGCTGTTGCAAACTTTTAGTCCCTTGCGGAAGTTGCAGCTACGGCAGCGGCCAAATGAAGAGTCTAGAACAGAGCTGATTCAGCCGAGAAAGCAGATGAGCCACAGTTCTCAGGATGGTGAAAGTAGCAATTTTGTCCAAACTTACATATGCCATATCTCTCATAATGCTGGCAAACTTTTCTACCCTGAAGAGCAAAGCAAAAGCTACAGGTAACTAAAAGCATCGTTTAGAGCTCAAGAATCATATTAGAAGAATAACTGCATCTAGTTTTATCAACATTCAACATGTCATGTGATTGCTTTTGCAGATTTCCATTGCAACTATCATCCTGGTGCTGGTAGCATCAATTTTGCACTTACAATGGCATAAGTATAGTTAGAAGTTCTCCAAGCAGGACACTAGGGTTAATACTTTTAAAGCTATACGGAAAGCATTAATAAGGGCATGGTAGAGACTTACAGGTCTTAGAGGCAGGCCAGAGTTATTAAGGGTACGAGCAGGTGATTTTGAAGGCTGCATCTTGGGATGATTAAATTTGCAAGCAGATTTAAACTTGCAATATCCTGTTTTAATGAAATACGCACACTCAGGTTTGCCTGGTCTTTCAGGGAATTCTCTGATGTTCATCTGCTCGAGATGAAATTTTGAGAAACTTGTTGATTTCATAGCATTGTTCATTGCAAAAGCAGAATGTGGATCCCCCATCTTTACCTACAGAGCATAAGAAAAGAACAAACAATGTAATGGTAGATAGATATCACGCAAGAAATATAGGTGCACAAAAGCTAAAAGCCTAAAACAGTCTGAGTTTTTGGAAGGAGATCAAAAGCTACCTGATGCCTAGTCCATTCAGAATTTATATGCATCCCTGGAACATAAAATGACTTGTTATCCAAGTAGGGAGCAGGATCGTCCAATGCCATATTCGAAAACAATTCCACACTTGGTTTTGAATCCGCAAACAATGAAAATTTATCCAGCTTCTGATTATTATTTCCTACGAAACTGCTCTCCATGTCTGATCCTTCAGCAGCAGTAGGGTCAGGATGGTTAAACCTGCAATTAAGTCCATAGGCACAAGAACCAGTTCGCATGTAGAAA